GCAACTTCAAACTCTTGGGCCCAAGCGATTCTCTTGCCTCAGCCTCCCAAGTAGCTGGGACTACAGGTGCCTGCCACAATGCCAGGCTATTTTTTGTTGTGGTTGTCATTGTTATTTAACTGGCCCATGCTGGGTTTGAACCCCCCAGCCTTGGTGTATATGGCTGATCCCATAACCACTGTGCTACGGGCGCAGAGCCTGACCACACACGTTCTTATGACCATGAGACCTCTCCAGTCTGATTTCTGTAGAGCTCCCCTTCGAGCAGAAAGGAGACATCGTACTCTGTTCTTCATCAGCATGAGAGAAACTCTAGCTGGATGTGTCTCGCCACCACCGTGTCATAGCAATTTCTTCCTAACTGCCTTTGCATCGTACCAGACACCCACTTCCATGGTATTTCCCCTTCCACCTGGCTTTCCTGAACATGAATTTCACAAATCTATTTTCTGTCTCTGTCACTTATTTCCATCAGAGAACTGATAGAACCATTAGGGCAGAACGGAAGACCCCACTGCCAAAATTAAAGAACTCAGCTCTAACTCTGATTATGCCACGGCTATCCTTCCTTGTATTTGTAGCTAATAAGGTCATGATTTCTAGATAGCACTTGATTTGATGTGGACTAAAGCTAAAACGAGTAACCATATTGAAATATGTCCCAGTACACATGTAACCTAAAACCAAAGTATTTATTACTGCTGTCTTTTTACATTTCTGTTCATCTGCACCTATATGTGTCATATAGAAATTTTCCCACTTTTAAAATACCTTTATTTAAATACCTTTATTTATCACATACTTATGATAAATGATATACTTTTAAATACCTTTATTTAAATCTTACTTTTTAAATACCTTTATTTAAATACTTTTAAATCACATGCTTATGATAAATACCTTCATTTATCACATACCACATGATTCATGCATTTGAAAGGCACAATTCCATGTTTTTAAATATATTCACAAACTCATGCAACCATCAGCAAAATCTGATTTGGAAACATTTCATCACCCCCCTGCAGAGACCCCAGACTCACTAGTAGTCATTACCGCTGTTCCTCATTCCCTCTCCATGCCCGCCCCTCCCCAGACCTAGAAAGCTCTACCCTACTTTCTATTTGTATATATTTGCCTATTTTGGATCTTTGATTAATATGTGAATGCAATCATAAAACATGTGGTCTTTTTTTGACTGGCACCTTCCTTCAGCATGATGTTTTCAAGGTTAATCCATGTTGTGGCATGTATAAGAACTTTATTTCTTTTAATTTCCAAATGATATGTCACTATATGAATCTATCATAATTTATTAGAATTTATTGTATTTTTATATGTAATATATACACACTTATTATTCCTAGGACCTTTCCTATGCCTTGAGGAGTCTAGTAAGGCTTTTAGAATTTAAATGGTGAAAACTAGAAGTGTGGTTAATGACTTGCTCTAAGAGAGGCAATTAATGCAAATATTCAAGTACTCACATGTTCAGAAATTTTAAAAAGACTGTCAAACATAAAGAAAATCCATAAGCATTTCCCTCTGTATTCAAAAAGCAAGATTTTCATCAAATTTATCTGTAAGGCTTATAAAAAAAGTGGATAAAAATGGAACCAACAATATCAAGCAAAGCAATAAAGTTGATAGATTCTCGTTTTCACCTTGACTTCATAGGACTATGGGATTACTTTGGGGATGACGCTGACATGTGGAGTAGCTGGTTGCTTGAAGAGCGCAGACTGGTACTATTAACAGAAGTGCTTAAAATATAAATTATCAAAATGTAAGACACTATTCATACTGTTTAAGATAAATAGCCATTAAAAGTGTGGCATATTTAAATAAGGTCATAGTGCTATTTATAATTTTGTAATTGTGATATTTCTAATGTGGACACAATCCTCAGTGGACTCCAAATTATAGTGATATGACTACTATTAGGATCTGTGTATTTTATAAAAAGGTTTCAAAATAGAGAATCTCAAAAACATAGGGCATGGTTGGTAATAATGGAACTTGATGGCCCTGGGAAACTACCTGTAGGTAATTTGAAGCCATGGAAAGTGCTCAGAAAGGCTTAGATTCAGGGTTTCCGAATCTGATGCCAGAAAGGCAAAGATCCTCACTGCATGGATAGGCAAAGTTTTTATCTTTCAGGTTCAAAAGAAAACATGTTCAGTAATTTGTATAGTGCCCTAACATATTAATAGAAATAATATGTAAAGTATTATTTCCTTAATATTTCCTTAATATTTTTAATATTTCCTTAATTTTTTTATATGTTCCTTTTACTGAAAATGTAAGAGATACATTATATTGGAGAAGGTCTTATTTCCTTTCAGTGCTATATTTTAAATATTTTTTTTTTCTTCAGGTCATTTTTTCATGGTATTAACACAGTCACTTTGAAATAATTAACCTTGTGTTTTCTTCCCTCCAATAAGTTAATTCACACTGCAAAACTGCATTTTATGCTCTCATTCACATACTCATTTCAAAGAAACAAACAGAAGCTTTCAAGTTTCTTAAGCGATTTGGGGAAAAAAAAAAAACAGAATCAACTAGAACAGCAGTCATCCATGAAAACAACTGACATTTAGTTTCACATGTAAGGTAAATCTGAATGGCATGAGAACCTTTCTACTCACAGGTATCTAAAGACTCGTCAGAATCATCAGGGCAGTCAGGGTCCCCATCACACAGCCAGCTCTGGGAGACACAAGTCACGTGATCGTGGCAAAGAAATTCACCAGGATCACACAACTGCTGATCTGAAAATGAAAATGTTTCGAAATAAAATATGAATGATCTGAACATGAACACAAGAGCAGCACAGAGGTGAAATGTGGGAAAGCAATTCAGAAAAGGTATGTGACTATGAGGCCACCTTCTCTGTTCAGCAGCAAAGCCAACCCAATTATTTCTCTTAATTTTAGCTGCTCAGTTTGAGCAGTCAATTTTCAAAGAGTTGACTTGGTTATAGTCTTACATGACTGTTCTGGAACTAGTTCAGAATGCTGTTTATGTTTATGACTAGAGGCTTTATCAGCTCAAAGACGGCAAGACAGATAGATATTCCAGCAAGTGCCTTTCGTGTAAGATGTTGAATCAAATGAGAAGCTCATGAGCATAGAAATTTCAGTTTCCTTCTCTGCTCCAAGAGAAAGAAAAATCAGTAATGATTTAAATATTGTAATTAAACTCCATTTCTGAGTATTCGGTTCTTAACCATCCATCCTGATAATGGCACTCTACATCTCCACATGAATTACATATGCAATACCAATACCACAGTATTTTCTTTCCCTCGTCTCCAAGACTTCCAAGGTGACAACTTCTGCAAAAGGGCCAGTACACTCCATAAAGCTATGTTTTAACTAGCTTAGTTGGTTGTGTCTCAAAAGTAGGCTGTTTCCTTTCCTTGCTTCAGGGTATATGGAATCCGTAACTTTTCCTCAAGTTCTAATAAAATCAACAACTGGTTATTTTTCACAATATATTAGCATTTACATATACATTGTGAGTTCGTTTTAAAAAATATGTGTTTTACATATTTAAATTTTTGAAAGAGGAATGTTTCTTATAATTGATGGCCTCTGAACATGAAGGAGTGTTAGGACTACTTTAGCTGTTTAATTTCACTTGTGATTTTATTACACAATTACATGAATAATTTAAGATAAATGATCATTGAATAAAGCTAACTGAGCTAAGTCAATAAATATAAAATAAAAATACTAAGTTATATGAAAGCATTCAGCCATAGCTTAAATAACAATTATTTTCCTAGCAATATAGAAAATAAAGGTACATCTTATACTCAATGCTATCCTAGCTTTGATAAAATGCGGTGTATCTTTCCTTTCCCCTCAACACCCTCCACCCCAGCAGCTTAACTTTCAGTAAATACACGTTACAAATCCATAGATCTTTAATCTATAGATGCAGGTATACTATTAACCTTTTATTCTCAAACTATAGACGTTCCCTGGTACCTCATTGTATTTTCCACATATTCACCATCAAGCTGGCGCTCATCACCACCACTGCCATAATTGTTGTTTCTTTACACTAAGTTGTTTGAACATTCTCTGTGTTTATCTCTAGACTTGGTGCTGCAGAATCAAAGATGTAGAAGCCAGTCTTTATTTTAAAGGATCAAAGACACTATCTGTGCAAACAAATGCCCCTAAAAAATGCTAAAAGTCAAGACCAGAGGTAGAGACAGATGAAACCAAGCATAGAGAATAGGTTGAGTATGTAACCATTCCTCTAGTCATGCATAGGCTTTGGGTGAATGGGATATAGGAATATTCCAGGCAAGCTTTAGTAAACAGTTGCTAAGGCATTATTCATTATATTACATTGGAGAAGAAAACATTTTTCTAGTGAAATTGAAATAACATTTAGGTTATAAGACCTAGGTTTTCTCCACCAAACAGTGACGTGTGATATATTTATAAGTATGTTTCAGTACTCAGAGAAAGGGGCTTACATTTTGCTTTAGGTCATCACATAACTTTTGAAGTAAATATACAGAAAGAGTATGGAAAAAAATTTATTATTTTTCTTATAAACAAAGAGATCATATAATTCATCATCCACTGAGAGAGTTTTGAGAGTGAAAAAATGCTTATTAATAATTACGTGAGGGCAACAGGCATAAACCAAGCTTGTCTGAGAAAAATCAGAATAGACATTCATTGTACCAATAACTACCCTGCATTTGGTTGATGATCTTAAGATGCTAAGTTTTCTCTTCCTTTCTCTCAAACTATATCAAATTGCTATAGTAAAAGGGGCTGAAAATGCCATTGTTTAGTATGTGACCTAGTAAAAATCAATACATACTTGTTAAAAGTATAAAGAAGTAAAGAAGGCAAGAGAGAAGTATTTATGGTGCTGAAATAAAGTGTCTCAAAAATATAGGGCAGGCTTGGTAAAGAAGGTCTTTGATTGCTATGGGAAGCATTGTGAAGGTGATATGAAGTGATGGAAAATACTTCAGAAAGGTTATTATAATAAAATGTGCCACAAAGTCTTTTGGTAGGGAGATTCTTCCAAATGTCTAGAGAAATATTCAATGTGATTGGACTGAAAGAGAGGGACTTAGATAATCAAATGTTGTAATGTAAGAGTTAAGAATTGGTGACTAGGCTCGGCGCCTATAGCTCAGTGGCCAGGGCACCAGCCACATATACCAGAGCTGGTGGGTTCTAGTCCAGCCCACACCTGCCAAACAACGACAGCTGCAACCAAAAATAGCCAGGCATTGTGGCAGGCACCTGTAGTCCCAGCTACTTGGGAGGCCGAGGCAAGAGAATTGCTTAAGCCCAAGTGTTTGAGGTTGCTGTGAGCTGTGATGCCACAACACTCTACTGAGGGTGACATGGTGAGACTCTGTCTCCAAAAAAAAATAAAATAAAAAATAAATAAATAAATAAAAAGAATTGGTGACTAAATATTTTAAAGGCTTAAACATGTCTTGAAGTGAATTGATTGGATGGTATTACAAAACCAAGCTAGAACAGATGGATTAAAATAAATGGCCGTGTGTGCACACATGCATATGAGTCTACTCATGGGGAAGAGTAGAATGAACCTAGTAGAAGTAATTGAATAATTTCTAAAACAGTATGTTCATGGTAATATTTAGTTCAAAAGCATTTTTACTACCCAAATCTTAATTTGTTCATTCATTCATTTAGGCAAGATACATTATTAGACTTCTGGGTTTTTGTGACTGGGGATATAATGCTAACAATGATATTAAAGTAGAATTCTTGCTATCATGGAGCTTACTTATAGTGGGAGGATAGAAATTAAAATAAAATAAGTGAGTCAATTATACATGCAGTATGTCAGAAGATAAACCTTATTAAGAACAATAAAATAGAGATGGGACTAAAGGTTGCAGATCATAAGGAGATATAACTTAAAATACAGTAGTCAGAGAGTATGTCACAGAGAATATGACATTTGAACAAAGATAAGAGTCATACCCAGTTGAATCAAAGGTCATGTGTTAAAGACCATGGGATGGGCTAAGAATTTGAGGCAAATGAGTGGCCAGTAGATTTGAAAAATACTAAGGAGGTCATTTTGGCTAGAGAAAAGAGAAATTAGGAAAAATGTGGTGAGGGTGTAAAGGAATGGGGGAGCATATG